GGGCGGCCATGGGGCCGGTAGTGGAGGTGTGGTTGCGCGAGACGCTAGAAGGTCAAACCAGGTTGGTGCAGGAATGCAATGCAGCTCTTTATATGGGGCAACGAGATATGCAGGACAAGCTTTAAGGGAAGCTGGAACGTCGGTTCACCTCTTTCAGTATTGGAGGGTGGAAACTGCCAGACGTCCTTCCTCTTCGACCTACTCGAGCTCGGGCCACTCCTTCTTCTACCACGCCCGCTGGCGGTGATGTGCTTATGACTCCCGAGGCGGCCCAACATGGTGTGACGTCGTCTGTTGCAGCTCCTTCGGAACCTGTGGCCGGATCTGGTATTGTCGGGAGCGTAGACCCTTCCGATCTCCATCTCACTATCAACTCAGGCTCCGGATTTTCCAGCTCGGCTGCCGCTTCTGCAGCCCCATAGTCCTTATGCATAGATAGTGGTTTTTTTTTTTTTGTAATTTCGGATATTTCGACAACCTTAATAATCTAGTGATAATCTAGTTACGTCTTTTTTTTTTTTACCATGCAATTTGCCACCAACTCCATGCGGCTTGCTGGGGGCAAGTCCGCGTATGTGGGTTGCGATAACCCACATGCCCCATCCGCCAACGCCGTGCGGCTTGCCGGGGGCAAGTCCGCGCATGTGGGTTGCGATAACCCACATGCCCCATCCACCAACGCCATGCGGCTTGCCGGGGGCAAGTCCGCGCATGTGGGTTGCAATAACCCACATGCCCCATCCACCAACGTCATGCGGCTTGCCGGGGGCAAGTCCGCGCATGTGGGTTACGGTAACCCACATGCCCCATCCGTCAACGCCATGCGGCTTGCCGTGGGTAAGTCCGCGCATGTGGGTTGCGATAACCCACATGCCCCATCCGCCGACGCCATGCGGCTTGCCGAGGGCAAGTCCGCGCATGTGGGTTGCGATAACCCACATGCCCCATCCACCAACGCCATGCGGCTTGCCGGGGGCAAGTCCGCGCATGTGGGTTGCGATAACCCACATGCCCCATCCGCCAACGCCATGCGGCTTGCCGGGGGCAAGTCCGCGCATGTGGGTTGCGATAACCCACATGCCCCATCCGCCAAAGCCATGCGGCTTGCCGATGGCAAGTCCGCGCATGTGGGTTGCGATAACCCACATGCCCCATCCGCTTGATGTCTGTAATACTCAATGCAATGTGTGAAAATCACGGATATTATTAACATGCGACACAATGTCGTCTACAGGGGAAATATAAGTCACTTACGATGCAACATACCATGGTAATGCCATGGGAGTCACGTTATTTGTCATTCCTTGAGCTACTCTATTTACTGAAAGAACCTTCGCAGGTGGTGGGCGTTCCATACGCGGTCCACGGTCCTGCCCTGCACTGTTTTGAGTTTGTAAGTGTTTTTGTGCACTGACTCTGCCACTTCGTACGACCCCTCCCAGTTTTTGGCCAGCTTGCCTCCCTGAAGTGGTTTGCTGGCTTCTCGTCGTCGTAGGACTAGGTCGCCGACCTGGAAATTGCGAGGGCATGTCCTTGCGTCGTGGTAGCGTTTTATTGCTTGTTGATAAATAGCAATATTTCGCCTGGCTGCATCCCTCCTCTCTTGTAGGAAATTTAGTTCAACCCGAAAGTCCTCATCATTCTAGCCAGGCTGGAATCGCGTGCTCCTACTCGCGGGGGTTATCACTTCTACTGGTGTCCGTGCTTCGCACCCGTATGTGAGGGCGAAAGGGGTATCCCCCGTTGCCTTTCGGGGGGTTGTTCTATAGCCCATAGTATGGACGGTAGTTCCTTGTACCAGGTGGATCCTGTTGCTTCGACTCTCTTCTTAATTCCGTCAATGATGGTGCGGTTGGCGTTCTCTACCTGACCGTTAGCTTGGGGATACGCCACGGCTACCTTGATATGCTCCACCCCGTAATAAGCGCAGAAATGAGCAAAATCTTGGTTGTCAAACTGCTTGCCGTTGTCGGACACGATTTGCTGGGGTAACCCAAATCTCGTGAAGATATTTTTCCACACGAATTTTCGGCACTGGGTCCCTGTGATGAAAGCAAGGGGCTCTGCTTCTACCCATTTGGTGAAATAGTCTATGACCACGATTAAGAACTTCAGGTCTCCCACCCCTTTGGGGAAAGGTCCCGCCAAGTCGATGCCCCAACGCGCGAATGGGATGGCTGAGGTGACCGGTGTGTAGTAAGAGGCGAGCTTGCCGGGTAAAATCGTGAATTGTTGGCACGTAGGGCATTTCCTCACGTAGTCTTGGCAATCGGATCTGATGCGGGGCCAGTAATATCCTTGCAAGATAATTTTCCTGGCCAGGGTTTGGGCGCCCTGGTGTGCAGCGCACACTCCTTCGTGGACTTCCGCTATGACTTTGTCGGCCTCTGCTTTGGTCAGGGTTGTAAAAATCCCGCCTAGGCACCGAGTAATCGGCGCCTAGGCACTAGGCGCCTATAGGCCGTGGCGATTTCCGCCCTAGGCTCCCGCCTAGGAGACCAGCCGCCTAGGCGCCCGCCTAGCGCCTAATTCAGCCGCCTAGCGCCTAACTCGTCCGATTACGCCGAGTTTAACTCGTCAATTTCTGTCAAGTTAGTCGAGTTAACCCGACCGACTCGACCTTGCTAATTTTGTCCATTTATATGACATATACATATAATATGACATATATACACTCGTAGACTAGTTTGATACTTTCAATCTTTGGATGATTGAAGTATTTGAGTATTTCATTTGAGTTTTTTTTTTTTTTTAATATTCTTTTGATGTTATGACTTATGAATTGTCATTATGTCATTTATTTGGATGTGTTATTTGATTGAATGTTGAAAACAGCCTCATTAAAATTGTCAAATTGCAAGTCTGCTACTGTTTTTTTCGCGACCGCCTAGCGCCGCCTAGATTCCGCCTAAGCGCCGACTAGGCCGCTTAGGCGCTAGGCGCTGCCCCTTGCGCCCGACTAGCGCCCAGCGCCTACTGCAACCATGGCTTTGGTTAAGCATCGGAGCATGGGCTCTCCAAAGGATAGTTTGAATAATCTTCCTTCAACCATTCGGTAAGACGGGGCCATGGACACTATTTTTCGTGCTCTCTGGGGTCATGTGGTGCGAGACCCTGTTCCTTGTAACGGATTATCTCCTGCATCCATTCATCCGGGGATGGTATTACAGCTAGGACCTCGTCCTTATCTATGCTGGGTGCCTCGATGTCTATTGTCCGGGCTATATTAGACACATAACTTAGGTGGTCTTCGACACCTTGAGCCAATCGGGACAGAAGATCCGCCTCGCCGTTGTCTATCCTTGGAATTTGGGCTAGTTCCCACCGCTCTACAGATGCCAATAGTCTTTGGACTACATCTCGGTATTGCCGCATCCAGTCTTCCCGTGCTTCGAACTGATTATTGACGTGGCCCACGACTAGTCGCGAGTCTGACCGAATCTTGAGGTTGCGTGCTTGCAGGGCCTGGGCCAACCTCAGGCCCCCGATTAATGCCTCATATTCAGCTTCGTTGTTGGAGAGAGGGAAGCAGAATCTGAGGGCTTGGTAGGCCCTGAACCCTTCCGGCGAGATGAGCACGACGCCACCTCCGCAACCCTTTTTACTCAAGGCGCCATCGGTATACATCTCCCACTCTCCTGCGCCTTCTTCAGTCTGTCCTTCCTGGCGTTCCGGGATGGTGCACTCCACGATGAAGTCAGCGAGGGCTTGACCCTTGATAGCCGTGCGGGGGCGGTATTCGAGACTATACTGGGAGAGTTCGACCGCCCACTTCACCAAGCGGCCTGACGAGACCGGATTTCTCAGGATGGTGCCCAGGGGCTGGTCTGTTAGGACGATTACGTGGTGTGCTTGGAAATAGTATACCAGTTTTCGGACCGTTCTCACGAGGGCGTATACTGTTTTTTCAAGTGGGGTGTACCTGAGCTCGGCGTCATGCAGGGCTCTGCTAACGTAATAGATAGGTTTATGGATGCTTGTTTCCTCTCTGAGTAGCACCGAGCTAATGGCCGCGGGTGCCACCCCAAGGTATACATACAATGTCTCCCCTTTCTCGGGCTTGGAAAGGACTGGTGCCGCGGACAAATATGCCTTAAACTGATCGAAGGCTTCTTGGCATTCCGGGGTCCAGGTGAAGCCGCTCCTTTGCTTCATGATCTGGAAGAATGGGAGGGACTTCTCCGCGAGCTTGGACATGAATCTGTTCAAGGCGGCCAGCCGGCCGTTGAGTCTCTGGAAGTCTTTTATCGATGTGGGGGGCTGCATCTTGAGGATGTTTTGTGCCTTTTCGGGGTTGAATTCTATCCCCCGGTGAGTAACCATGAACCCCAGGAATTTTCCTCCCTCACCGCGAACGCGCATTTCTTCGGGTTCAGGCGTAGGTTCTTCTGCTTCATAATCTCAAAGCATTGGGTAAGATATGCTGGGTGGGTACCGGCATCCTTGCTTTTTACCAGCATGTCGTCCACGTAGGCCTCCATTATATTTCCAAGGAGGTCCTTGAATATTTCTGCTACCATGCGGGTAAATGTGGCCCCGGAATTTTTTAGACCGAACGCCATGACTTGATAACAATATATCCCATCCGGGGTCACGAACGCCTTTTTCTCTTCGTCTTCTTCCACCATGAAGATCTTGTGGTATCCTTTGAACGCATCCATAAAACTCAGCAGTTCACATCCCGATGTTTCGTCTACCAACTGATCCATACGGGGTAAAGGAAAAGGGTATTGGGGGCATGCCTTGTTCAGATCCGTGTAGTCCACGCACATGCGCCATGTGGGCGGCTTTGGGGCTAGGACCACGTTGGCCAGCCACGCCGGATACATTGCCTTCCGTATGTGTCATATCGCTAGGAGCGTGTCTACCTCTGTCTTCACGAATGCCCTCCTCTCGGTCGACAAGTGTCGTCTTTTCTGCTTAACGGGTTTAAAATTGGGATCTACCGCCAGCTTGTGTGATATGATGGAGCGGTCGATCCTAGGCATATCTTCGGGACCCTACGCGAATATCATCGAGTATTTGCGTAGAACGGCAATGACCTGCTCCCGCAGTCTCGGGGCAAGGCCCTTGCCTATCCTGACGCATTTGTCTGGTCGACTTGGGTCCAAGGGGATCTCCTCCAACTCCACGGCTGGTTCGGGCCCCGCCTTCTTCTCCCTCTCGGCCTCCTTCTCCACTGTATGGACAGGTAATTCTTCCGTCAGCATTCTCTCGCATGCCGTCTTATAGCACTTCTGGACGAGATGCTGATCACCCCATACCGTCCCCACCCCCTCGGGGGTATGGAATTTCAAACATAAATGCTCCATCGAAATAAGTCCGCCCAACGCTGCCAGCCCAGGCCTCCCTAAGATGAACTCATGGGCGCATACTATCCTCACTACGAGGAACTCCATGTCCACTTTTTTCACGTGCGGGGGGTTGCCAACTTCCACGGGGAGCACTATCGACCCCTCTGTCTCTATGGTGTCCCCAGTGAAACCAGTCAGTGGCGTCCTCACCGGTCGGAGCTGGTCCTCGCTCAATCCTAACTTCACGAACACGTCGTGATACATTACGTTGACACTGCTGCCTGTGTCCACAAGCACGCGCTTGACGCAGACCCCGTTGACCACCATGGCGACCACGAGTGCGTCTTTCGGGGTAGTCTCCCGTGCTGGCAAGTCATTGTCTGAAAACCAAATTGGTTCTCGGCGGGGCCTTTTCAACGGGGGGTGTTCGTCCACCGCACCTACATAACAGCCACCATCTACCCTCGAGGCCCCTCCTCCAAAGATGACATTGATCACTGGGCGCTTCCCCGGGCCTTCCCTGGAGTCAGTCGATTTCTCTTTAGCCTCCCCTGCAGGCCCAACCGTCGAACGTTTAGTGTTTCTCGCAGCCAACCGCTCCCAGTCTATGAAATTCGTCAACTTCCCTGCTTGTATGAGGAACTCTATCTCTTTTCTCCATGCCTGACAATCATTGGTGGCGTGGCCGTAGCGGCGGTGAAATTTGCAATATCTCGTTGTGTCTGCACCCGGGGGGACAGGGTTGGGACCAAATGTTTTCACCAATTGACACTCCTCCGCATAAGCTAAGATATCGCTAGGTGGGCCGATAAGCGGGGTGAAAGGGGCGATCCGCGGGGCCGGCCGTGCCGCCGGGGGTGCTGGCGGCGCCCACGGCAACAGGGGGCTCGTGAACCCCCCGTGGGCCTCCCTCTCCCCACGGAGCTAACCTTCCTATCCTCTGGACTCTCCTGCGAGTAACCAGCTCCCTTCTTAGAGCATGGTGGTTCCTCGATCTGCGGCTTCTTGCTGCTGCCGTGCTCTTCTATACGCTTCATGCGGTTGGCCTCTTCAGCTTCGGCGTACCAGTCTGCCTTCATCATTAAGGTCGCGTACGAGCCGGGGGCCTTGCGGCGGAGGCTCTTGTACAGTTCCCCAGCACGGAGGGCTGCAATGAACATGACCATCGCAAACCGGTCGTCCATGTCCTCCACTTCGGCTTCCTCCTTCCTCCACCGTGCGAGGAACTGGGTAAGGGTTTCATTCTCCCCTTGCTTAACGCTAGCGAGATGCGTGAAGTGCTTCTTGCGCCTCCTCCCTCTCAGGAAATGGGTAATGAACCCGGTGGCCAGATCTTGGAACGAGCCTAGCGAGCCGCCTTTCAGGTTCGTGAACCATCGCTGCGCCCCCCCTGACAGCGTAGAGAAGAACGCGCGACACATCAGGGCGTCCGACGACCCAATGAGCATCATAGCCGCCTGGTATGTCAGGACGTTCTCCTGGGGATCGCTTGTACCGTCATACCTCCTCATGTCAGGGGCTTTAAAGTTGGAGGGAAGAGGTTCGTTCATGATATTAGGGTTGAAGGGCGGAGTGAGAGAAATCCGGGGAATCACGACGTGGGTGCCATGTTCATTCCACCGCACCAACTCATCTATCTTGATGTTAATCGCGTCTAGCCACTACGCTGCGGGGCTGACTCGAGGTGCCGGCCCCGGGGGGCGATATGCGCTTTCGCCTTCGGCTTCCTCCAGACCAACCTCGCGGGCGTCAGCCCTTCGTGACCCTTGGCCACATGGCACCACTATTGGGCCTACCGAGGGCTGCTCAGAGTGAATCACGTTAGCTCGTTCGCCATCCCGGCGTCTCCCGTCCCCGGCGCGAGCCGAGGCGGGTGCCTCCTCCGACACCTCGCGGCGGCCGGTGTCTCGCCCGTCTCCGTTACGCGGGGGGTCAAGCGGGCGCTCTCCTGATGGGTTGACCATCTCGACGTACCTCGGAATTCTGTTAGAGTGGTAGAGACTACAAACACAGGCTAATGATGGTTTTATTATGACCGGGTCCACCATAAACCGGGTACAGGAGTACAGAATGGGGGGTAGGGCGCCAGGCCCAACACGATGTGTATAGAAGCCCGAGGTACAGGCCCAAGAACCGTGACACAAACACAAAGAACAAGGCCCACAGGATGGGCTATTGCTAACTATGCTACTGCTTGGAATCGAACCCAGGTGACTAGATTGAGTGTATGAGATCAAGACCACAGGACTAGTGTGCCTGTCGTGTCCGAGTTGTCCTTAGCCAGAGATCCAGGGCCCCTATTTATAGCAAGCCCTCCTTCTCCTCTAGCGTCCACGTGTCGCATGCAATCCATCCCCACTTCCCCCTTTATCACTACGCAAGCGGGCACGTTCGCCATACTTCCAAAACTCCCGCACATACCACCCCGGTCCACCATGCTCGGCGCACCCGCCCAGCACCCCCTCGGAAAGGGGGGGGGTGCCATTGAAAATCTGGGGGGCGCACTGCCCCCGCTGGCCGCGCCTCGGCCTGAGGTGGCCGGCGGGATCCGCCGCCGGCCAGTTGCTGGCCGACCATGGCCCGTGGTGGAGGCTGCCCTGCCCACAAATATCGGTCATATATATGCTGTCGCGCTTTAGTATTCATATGATGGTGTGGTTTGATGGTCTTAACCTCATGCTGCGAAACGTGAGGGTGGGGGTTCAAAACCTATTGGTAGCAGCGCTTTCTTAAACTATTGCTTTTTACCCCCATGGCCAGTGGCCTTCGCTGGCCACGGCGGTGGGGCGCCGCCGCCGCCGCCCGTGCTGGCTACACCCCGGTGGATCGCTGGCCGGCCGCCGGAGGTATAGCCCCGGAAATCCGTTCTCTCTCCTCCGTTTTGGGCCACCACGCCCCTTGTCTTCTTAGCCCAGGAAATCCGTTCTCTTTCCTCCGTTTTGGGCCACCACGCCCCCTTGTCTTCTTAGCCCAATAAGACTTTGGCCAATCTCCTATCATCACCACCCCCACTAGGGTCAATACTATGCCAATAAAATGGACCCCCTGGTCCCATATCCCCATCACAGCGCGCCGTGGCCGACCGGGCCAGTGCCCCGACCGGCGTCCCTGTCCAGCCCAATCTCTTCGCCTCCCCCTGACGGCCCAATTACGTAGGCCCTCTGCGTCCATGGCCCACCTCCAATATCCCCATATATATATATATATATATATATATATATATATATATATATATATATATATATATATATATATATATATTCAATACTATAGCAATAAAATGGACCCCCTGGTCCCATATCCCCATCACAGCGCGCTGTGGCCGACCGGGCCAGTGCCCCGATCGGCGTCCCTGTCCGGCCGCCGGCGCCGGGCAGCCCCTCCTGACTTCCGGCCCAATCTCTTCGCCTCCCCCTGACGGCCCAATTACGTAGGCCCTCTGCGTCCATGGCCCACCTCCAATATCCCCATATATATATATATATATATATATATATATATATATATATATATATATATATATATATATATATATATATATATATGTATGTATGTATGTATGTATGTATGTATGTATGTATGTATGTATGTATGTATGTATGTATGTATGTATTCCTTAGCCCATTCAATAAATATTGTGAGCCCAAACTATGTATCAAGTTATATAGAGTAGGTATGGTTTTGATATTAGAACTTTGTGAACATTTAGACTTGGTTCTTGGAATTGTTTTTTGAAGTATTAGTGAATGAGGTAGTGGCTGACTTGGGAAGAAGGAGGAATCCCAACAAGAAGAGGAAACAACAAAGGTATAACCCCATGTACTCCCAACTTAGTTTTGGCTCTGTTAAGTCATTGTTTTATAGGTAGAAATGAGTAGAAATGCTAGAATGTTGTGTGTTTGAGCTATTAGATTACTTGTTGATGTTGTATGATGTATTGTTGATGTTTTGGAAGTGAAAAATTGCCTGGTTTTGCACTACAGGTGAAGAAGGAGCCACTGGTGCACCTCTCTGTGTGCACCAGTGGAAGTCACGGGCCTAGCCAACGGCCCACGAGGGGAGCCGTGGCTAGACAGCCCTAGGGCACGGCTCTAGGCAAGGGCCGTGGCCCTAGGCCGCCGCTAGACGGCTCCAGGCGGCGGAGCTTCCCTAGCCCCGCCGCTAGGATCGTTGATGGCTACCTGTGCAGTGATCGGGCCCTTGTGGCTCAGCTACGTGTCGTTTCGGACCGGATGTCACGGGTCCTTGTGTCTCGGTACCTTGGGGCCGTTATGACGCACGTTTGGGCTTTGATTTCGTTGAATTTGGACTAGAAATAAGCATGTTATGATAGAAATTGTGTTGGAATTGTTTATAGTAATGTGCAAGTGAGTTGTATCAGACTTAGAATGCCTATTTGATCTTCCTGATGCTAATGGAGTGTTAAATAGATAAGCATGATCATTAAGTGATTAAGTTTTGTTAGAAAAGCATGACTCAAGTGTGTTTTATGTTTCATGGAAATTATAGTCTGTTATAATTGTGGAAGTGTACAGAGTATGTTATTTTGCAGTCCAAGCATGATTGAGTGTTCTTTGAGAGTTCACAGTGACATATAGAATTGAAGCATGTGTACAGTAAATTAGATTCCAAGCATATCCCAAGAAACACGGTGGATTGCGTCCCGTGATCTTTCTGGACACATCACCGCCACCGTTATTTCCATTGAGTACGGCAGCTCCTATGGTCTGGGTCAACTGAGTGAGCTGGCGTAGACTCTCTGTCAAATCCGTGGATGACGACACTCCAGGTCCTGAGGAGCGAGGAGATTCCTCTCTAGCTCTTCGCGGCAGCATCGCGGAACTCTTTGAACATGATCAGAACAGATCATTCTCGTTAGCACGACTACAAGTTAGCTGATTCTAACTTCTCAAGCTTAAAACAAACTTGCAACAAGCAAATCATACTAAGCAACAAAGGCATCTCTTCTACTTTAGCAACTTAGCAAGCACAACTTCTCTTCTAAGCTTAAACTTTCAAACTCTTGGTTTTTCTCTTTCAACTACTCTCTTTACTTCTCTACTTTACTCAAAGCAGATATCAAAGGTATAACAAGCACATTGGTAAATCATATAAACAAGGCACAAGTATAAACTCTTATACTTTCTCATTAGCACTTTTACAAAACTTCCACTTTCAAACTTTAACTTTCACAATCTCAACTTTTAACTTTCACTTTAATTTCTCACTGAAAAACTTCTCGCTTTCACTTTCGAAAGACAGAAACAAGAACTTTAAACACATTGATAAAGCACAAAACATATAAGCAATCACAAGGGAACTCACGACCTCACCGCGTTCCTAACTGTTACTTAGAGTTTCTCTTAACTCTGATTTTCATACTTGGTCACTGGACTTAGAGTCCTTCTCATCTCAGTTTTCATAACTTAGGGCTCTTTCCCTAATCTTATCCTTCTTAGGATCACTTAAAGTTCTCATCTTAACTTGTCTTCCTTAAGGCTTCCACTTAAAGTTCTTTCCTTAACTTATCCTTCCTAGGACTTTCACGTAGAGTTTCTATACTCAATCTTAAGGATCAAACATCCTAAGTTTCCCGCGGTTCGTACTGCTCTGATACCAATTTGTAACACCCCACTTTTCTAACTCTTAATTACATCTCTAAACAGTCATTGACATAAACTAAGCAGCGGAAAACTAGAAGATAAGTAGTGGGAGTGTCACCGCCACAACCACCACTCTTTGGTGATTGCACAGGCTAAAAGGGGTAAAACTACAAATAAGATTAAGTCTGGGTACTAAAAATAAATACTAGAAATGTAAGGGGGGAAAACGTCACCCCAACACAGTCTACAACAATCCTCAAACATAAAGTCATAAGTCTAAATCCATAACATGATCATAATTAAAACTAGAGTTTAGACATCTCAAACTAAGAAACAAATCTAACTGGATCTCTTCTCACTGTTGGGCCCACCTGAAAGGGGTTTTGCAAGCAACACATAGACAACAGGAAAAACAGTTGTTAGCACGAAGTTAAGTATAACCACACTCAACCCTATAAAGCATTCTAGCATATACTTTGAAAACATTTGATATCTTTATAGCAATAAGCTAATCTCAAGTCATATTAAGATTTATCACCTTCTTTCTAAATGCTTGCACCCTATAATATCAGCTGGCATGCTCATATATGTATAAGACTGATCATGTAGATACATCAGCATATAGACTTCTCAAATAGCTTGTCAAGCAATTCATGCTTACAGATAGGTTCATGCTAAAAGACCATATAACAGGTATTTACATGCTTTCATATTTTTATCACATAACTTGATAAGTGGAGCTTCTAATACAACACAATAATCATGCTCAAGGAATATCTCAAGTTAAACTTCTCATTAAACAATCTTTTACGATGCTCTATTCGCATACAATCATGTATAACATTATGATCATACTTCTTATGCAATCTAGTGCAACAATATATTCATACACATATGCAATCTCGTGC